TCTCTTTTTATACCGTCGGAGAGGTATTGCCGAAGAGATTCTTTCTCCCTATTTGGTTGACAAAGCATATTGTAACGGAGACGTTAACAGCGAGGGCTTCTCCGTAATGCGTTCGTCGTTGCAGGGTATCGCGTCAAAAATCTGGCGCCACAAGCTTATCGTCAACAAGACTGGTCCTCTTTCTTGACAGGATGTTAACACACAGTTTTCTTATTTCCGCGCTGCGAAAAATTCACTCTTGAAGAATCATTCCAACTTCATTTTGGTTTCTCTTCAATGTTTACCGGCGTTCGAGGTGTCCGAATCAATCGACGGAGAGTTGTAGGTGGATTGTCTTGAGCAGCTGTGTCGTTCATTACCAGGCAAATAACTTCAAAGGGATCCTCGTGGAGCAAGGCAGTCTTGCCGTTGGAAATTCTTGTTTGCAACATAAAGCCCTGCTCTCAGGATTCCTTGCTGTTGGTATGACCTCCCCCTTCAAAGCCTAACTGCCATCTTTTGCAATATTCCAACTTCTCGAGAATTTCCTCTACTTTCTTCCAGGCGATGCGGAGCGGTGTGAAGAGGAGGGAGAGGAATATAAGTGCACTTTGAATAGGATTAAAGCAAAAAAGTGAGCAGTTCGAAAGCGTTTTGCGCAAGGGTTACGAACCCTTCGTTTTAGAACCAATTAGTTACCCGCTTAGCTGGGCTTTTCCTTTAAGAGCATATTCCGGCTAGCCACAGTTACGTAGGATAAAGCTTCAAAAACTAGTAATTGCCGTGTGCTTTTGTTGACTATATGGATAGAAGCGAAAACACCGAAAAAGCCGCACCGCGATAAGACTCTTTGATTGCCAGATTCGAATCATGATCAGCGGACGAGCGATAAGGTGGGCAGCATTCAACTGTGCAATATTGGAATTGACGAACATAGTGGCCGGCGATTAACCTGATCAGAGAGAGCACAGGCCAGAAAAAAGAATAGAAGCAGGCATTAAGAAAACAACAGCGCAGATGAAGGAGGCGCATATGGCATGTCTTCACACACAGGCACGGTCACTTGGGTATGGCCGGCCATTTGGGCGCAAATAAATGGGCCTAAAACCTGAGCGCCTGCAGTTTTTGGCTGCTGTTTTTCCAATTTTCAAAAGCAGCATAGCTCTGTACGTTGCTGATATGATCATCGCTGAACGGTTATGGACCTAAGTCTCTGCATTAGTTTTCATGGGCGCGAACCATGCCTTGTATATATATGACTACCTTTGCTCTGACGGGAGAGATAGGGCACTTACGCTTCATGTAAAATGCAATCCTAGGAGAAATTCAAGCATTTCACGCAAGGCAATTCAGCATTTCAACGGTTGAGAATGCAATTCTACACAGTCGAGTCAGCAAGATGAAGTAAAGCTTCCGAGTGTACGTTCCACTGTCCTTTTTAGCGCCACGCGTCGTCACTTGTTTTGTAATGCATTGTAATATGCGAGCTTGGCTAACTACAATGGACTGTAGGAACAGCGCCGTATGTACAGGTTCAACTTATATCTCCTAGACGCTTTTGGTGCGAGATGGTAAGCTGGCAGTCCAAATTCCTCATATCCACGTCTCTATCTTGCCAAATTTCCAAAAAATGTTTGCGTATCACTTGGACGGCAGGCGAGTCGGTGTCAAGCTTCCTGACATTATTTCAAAAATGCGTATTCGCTCACTGACGGATGGAGGGTGAGTTCGCTCGCCGATAGTGAGACAGCTCGCCGACAGTTTTCTCTCCAGCGGCTGTTGAGATGAGTAAGCGAAAACAGGTGGAAACCGACTCATTCGAACGTTATGATACAGCCTTGCCACTTGTCGGAAGAAAAAGGAATAAGAAAGGGTTACGCCGCGGCAAACCCATCCCTCTTGACACGCCCTTTCATCCGTAGTGTACAAGACTGTAGCACGTGTGAAAAGGGAAAAATCGGCAATCAGTATAGTTTTTCTCGAGGCAAAGTACGACCCCCGTCTTGTTTTACAGAACGTATGGCGAGCCTTGTAGAGCGAATGTGAGAGTTGCCTAGAAATCACCTTCTTCGCCAGGGTAGTCCACGGCGACTGTGGACTACCCTGGCGAAGAAGATGATTTCTAGGCAACTCGAGATCAAGGAGCGCGCGACGAAGCGGCAATTTACGATTCTGTTGCCGGCCGTCTGGGGACACCGGCAAGAGAATCGTAAATTGTCGCTTCGTCGCGCGCTCCTTGATTTGCACATGATTTGATTGGAGCATCGGATTTCATGTAGACAAGGACATGGTAGACTGTCTTTGTGGTCGTACATTGTTTATACTTGACCCATACCACCTAAAATCGTCGTCATTATCGGGTGCGACGTCGCACGCGACGCCTATGGTTCGGCGAAATACATTCTCGTGCCACATACCCGGCCGTCTGCGCTCCGTGTCTAAGCCTTGGCTAGGGGAAGGGCACAGAGGTGATGCGAAGTCCAAAAAAGGTTAGCGCTTCATTCCTCCCTAATTTTCTACCGGGTATTACGGTGTGTATATAATATAAACGGGCGCAGTGGCAAATGGCCTCGTATAGACCCCAAGCCACCAGGCAACAAATCCCGGTTGGTCGAACCTTAGCAGTCGTTGAATAAACGAATAAGAGGAACGGTGCTTCTGCCTCTACAATCACCTTACTGCTGATAAAGTTCTCCGCTGTTCATCCATCATACATCACTATCATGAAGCTGCCGGCGGGTATGTGACAAAAGGACCGTAATTCTCCGCGAGTCGCGTGCGACGTCGCGCCCGCAAATAATGATGGTCCCAGGTAGTAGATGGCGACAACAGGCAATTCACAACCGAGAATAGATATGAATGTCTACGATGACGGGGTCTACATGAAGTCCGGCGCTCCAATCGACAGATCCAACGAGTTAAGAAAACGACGCGCTCATTGCCGCGCGCGACGGAGTGGCAAATTATGATTCTTGCCCGTCCTCCGCTGCCGGCACACCTCGCAGTTCTCCGGTGGTGCAATTTCAAGATATCATTAAATGAATTTAGGAATATACCATCTTTAACGCGCACAAAGTAGCAGCCAAGGTAAGGCCGGAAAAACCGCTCTGGCCAGCTGTACTCCCTTTGATGTTTCGTGCTCCACGGCTAAAATGCTAAAGCCGCGGCGCGCGGCGCGGGACAAAGCGGACGGGTTCGGTTCGTGCAGGAAAGACAATAGGAATAGAACGGTTTTGGGAGCTGATTCCTTGTTAAAAAGAAATTCGTAATTATAGGGATGATTCTCGACGTGATACTGATTGGGAAAAGTTTCCACCTGTGGAGGCCAAATATATGCTGTAGTGTTTATCTATTCCGTACATTTTGCTGAATTCAAACTCTCCTTCACCAGATTATTTTCTTTTTACTGTTCCTTTTGTTGTATTTGTCTAAGCTTCTATCAATCAGCCAACTGTGTTAAATAGGAACGCATTTGATCGTTCGACGTTGTATAACGCAATATTGTGCAAAGTACCTGGTGATTTTTCGAAACTTAACTTATCATTATAGAGTTCTCATTGTCCCGATGAACGATGGATCACAGCAAAACCGCATCTTACCGGTCAAGTGCCCACATAGTTGACGCACCGAACTCTCAGTTGAACTATTGCTCGATTTTGCTATCCAGACAAATTTATTAATAAAATTACGTCCTTCCGAAAACTGTGATTTTGGCTCTTTATACGCTATATCGCTATCAATATCACGTTCCGTACTTCAATTTTCATTCATCTTGCATATTTTGCTACTTTCCATAGACTGTCGACCCAACTAAACTATTAATGACACAAGACTCACATATTACCCTAAGGCGACTTTAAAACGGAACTTGTGAAGCAGCATAAAGGCACAAATTCCTCCCTTACCCCCCGCCCCACCTTCACCGAACTGGCCGATATTCCTAGTTATGATTTTGTTTCACATGCTAGGTAAGCGTCAACTTGTACTCTCAGCTGATAACCTACAGTTTCTGAACTCCAGAGCTTTTATGTTTTTTTCATGTATTAACCTCTTGCTCCTCTCCATCATCTATCTAGTATGACTCCTGTTTCCCCCTACTTCTATCACATTTTAATGAATTAAGTAGTAAATAAAGAAAAAACAATTTACTCAGAGTCACGTCAGCACCACTGCTCAAGACATCAAGCAACATCAACATCAATACACTCTGAAACCAAAATAATAAAGTCAGAAACGATACATAAAACAATTGTCACAAGCTTCCTGTACAAAAAACTACATTAAAATTGATGAATTACAAACGAGCCACTTCAGATAAAATATTAAAACAAACAGAAATGTTAATAAGAAATAAAAAAAACATAAAACGGAGTTCGTATCAACTTGTGCGCTACAGCTGTAGAGCTACAATCTACGCTGCTTACGATACGTCGCCGCAATCAGACGTAAACGACAATAATCTTCCGAATTGATACCTATCATGTTTTCTCAACGCATTCGACAATAACAGTCGTCGTAACACTATCTTCAACGTCGCAGATTCGGCGATTGGGAAAAGTCGACTATATTATAACAAAGCGCACAGAAGACTGCGGATATCGAACGCCAGCGAGCGAAATCGGCGATCCGTCGTTCATATAAGCGCACTCAGCGTTTCGACAAATGCGGCGCCAAGGCTGATTCGATCTATGATTGTCCAATCCACGATCCGCATGAGCGGTACAGCATTTTGGAGTGACAAATCCAGCATTCTGAGAGACTCAGCGATCTGCTTTTGGAGGATTAGCGTCTAGCGAATTGAGAGAATTACGTTCATGCGATGCGCCTCATGAATGATCAGTATTGAAATTACGCGGAAACATGGAATGTACACATGTACGTAATGGTTTGTTTGATGTGGGAACATGACTATCATTATTCCGAAATTTAATCATATTCTGCTGAAGTTTTCTATATTCTTTCTTTTTATGATCTTTTTATTGAATTATGTATGTCACAAATTCATGCTCCGAAGAAGTTAGATGGCGACAGAAGAACATCTTGTGCAGTTCCGAGCCACTCTACGCGATGCGTTCGTCAAGCTCTGCCGTCGTCAATATGGACCATCTCCGAAAGAAATTAAATCAATGCGCGTTAGTTGAGCGACTTCTCTGTACCCAATAAAAACTTCCAGTTTTTCTCACAAATCCTTAGGTATATTAATTTGTTTGGTTTCATCAAATATCTACCTAACTGATCAGCAATCGCAATACTATGATCGAGACTGCGATCGACTGAGTAACGACTTCTCGCAAAAGAAGCTTGGTCATGAGCACGTGTGCTGCCTTTCAATTGACCGCGTCGATTGTCTTCCCGCACTCTGTCTTCACACCTCTGTTATGTATCGATGCGTCTCACATCTAATCGCGCATGAGTCGCACACGGTAAGCCTCATGAATGATTCACCGAATGAAGGAGATCAAATCGCGATGTATGAATGCTAGATTTTAGACCTCCATCATTCTAACTACTACACTTCTCTCTGAACTCTCGACCATTTTCTCATACTATCCTGTTTCTACTTACTTTGCCATGTAAGTATTCGATGAAATCTTGTTTTGGCTAACGTTCGGCCCTTATCGTGTCTAAAGCCAAAACGTCTCAAGGCTTTTGAACTGCACACGCTAAACTTGTCGCTTTACCTTTTACTTTTTTACTTTTTATTATATATATTTACCTATAATGATTTTTATGGTCTTAATTTCTTTTTTATCTATTTCTTTTATTATTTATTTTTTTGTCTCTATTTGTTTCTTTTCATACTCAATCATTTCTTTATATATTCTATATATTCTTTTTCTAATCTTTTTCTCTATATTTATATCTTTCATTTATATCTATCTAATTCTTATTTTTATTATATTCTCTATTTTTTTCCTCTCTTTCATATAGTATTATATTTCTTATTCATCTATTTTTATCTTATTGCACATTACACTCATTTACTTTTTTTTTCTTTCTTTTATTATTTCATATATGGCATCGTTTAATCTATATATATATCTTATTATATTTTTTTTCTATATATTCGTTTTGTTATCGTTCTCATTCAGGTTTAATCTACTGTATTTTTTATTATTATAAATTAATTTTTTTATCTGTTCTTCTGTATTCTTGATATATTTTACCGTTTTTTTTTCTGTTCTTCTCATTTTTATTTTCATTTTATCTTTTTTTTTTATATTATTCATTATATGTCCTTCTATTCTCTTTTACTATCTGGTCTCTCTTCTCATATTTATTTTATATATATATTCAAAGTATGTGCGGTTCAGTTAATATTTATTTGAAACATGTAACTTATTAGGCTTTTCATCGCGCTTGTTTCTTTCTTTCACTGCTTTTGTCTTTTCTTGTTGATATCATCTGAGCAAAAAAAAAGGCTGAAAGATACTCTTCACACAAGCTGGGACTACTGACATGGATGGGCTTTTTGTTCAAGCTGCTTGGAGGGGAGGGAGCACCTGTGTGTGAAATCACTCTGCAGCACGCTAACCTCAGTTTTTAATTTTCTCAGAAAGCCTTTCCCGTCTTTTGCTTTTCAAGTGCTTCTTCTCATTCCTTTTTGGATGCTTTCCAGCTCTGGCGAAACTCGGTTTTTGTTCAAAGTACCGTACTATTCTTCCATTTACAGCTGATCCTCACTGTTCCTGGAGAGTTTGAAGTAAATTTAACGGTCTTGGGAGAACGCGAACAAACTCCATGGACACTGTTGAACATTAAAATGCTGGTGGAAGACTACGAAATTGGCTATGGAGCCCAACTGGTGCATCCCCTCCAACTACATATGCTACACAATGTATTACAGTCGAGGATGGATGTCGCAAAGAACGTAAGCGTACGCCAGGCTTTTATTGACTGACGTTTCTACTTGATCGCTTTGTTTCAGCCAATAAATGAGGTTTACAATTTCCTACACACCTTCGCGCAGTCATTGCAACTTGATGTACTGTTTTGTCAAGCCTCCCAGCTCGCTGCTGGACGTTTAAGGTTTTATTTTTGTGACTGTTTCCTCTATATCATTTTTCGTAATATGAACTTGGATTTTTTAAGGAATAAAATTGTCATAGAAAAATATGACCCGAAAGAACGTATCCTGTCTATCGGATATTGGGTGCAGCGTATCGCTAAGCGAGTAATAGGAAATGTTCGGTGAGATATTATCAAATCGAATTTTTTATTGTTCTGTCAATGAAGAATGCTTTGTGTGTGGAAACCATGTCATGGCGTCTCGATAGGGCGTGGCTACGGAATCGTTATGGGTGCTGCGGGGACGCGCTTACCATGGCTGACAGCGACAGCTTGCGAACGAATGAAGGGCTGATGCACTGCGAGACTAAACCGTTTACCCTTGCTCTCAGCTAGTTTCCCTTGACACGCCCTCCAGTTTGTCGCGACCTAGACTTTATGTTCTTTGTTCTTTATTCTTCTACTCCAGTTTTTCAAAGACCAAATGCCTATCCATCTTCTCTTTTCATTGTCATTTTCTGGTGTCCGAAAGTTCTCAGGCGTTTTGGTGTTCCAGCTTTAAAGAGCGCGCCCGCGGACTTTGGCACGTCCCTCAAGGGGTCAAAATTTGTTATAGCGGTGGCCAATGAAGCAGTAATCAAAAAGAAGTAGGAAAAAGGTGTGGAGACGCCTGAAATAAGACCCTACAAGTTTAAGGCATCGTGGCGAAGTTCGGCACACTTTTTGGTGAGTTCTTCCCAGTACACGTCGAAGCTCGAACTCCAGAAACTTAGGCGGCTTATCAATGCCAGCAAAGCACTGACAACTGTTAACCAGTTCGGGGCGGGATTAACAGGGAAGGAGGCGTCAGCTCAGCCTTGTTGACTCCGACCCTCGTCAACACATCGATTTTCAAGCCGCAAGAGTGGGATTTCCGCTGTGGTTGCTAGCTCCGCGTTGTTTTCATGGAAGGCGTTTTTTCAGCTTTGGTTGATCGCGGACGTGCCTTAAACGATCGCTAGTTCTGTTTTTAATACTCATGCGCATTTAATCGAAATAGGCACATTCGAATTCAGGCACACTTTTGCCAATGTGACAGCAGTCGGCGGAAATCGCCATCAAGGTAAAGTGAGTGGTCGAAAATTCAGCGGAATTCACTAAGCTTTTTTGGCCTGTCCTCATTGATGAAGTATTTTCCAGCAAGGGAGTTCTGAAAATGTTAAGAAAAGATGGTAGTCGTTTGGTGCGAAAGGTCTACAAGAATTATGGTGCGGTTGTAGGTAGAACTTCCCACCCAATTTGTTGCAATTTCATGGATAGTGATTTGTAAAACGTGTGAGCGGGCGTTTTCATGCGCAAAAGATCGGACCGCTTTCTTTTGATAAGTTGTTGTTCATACTGACAAAATTTGTACAATTCGTCCGATTTCTCCACAGTAAGTTCTGTCTGTGATGTTTGGCCTGGGTATAAAGAAAGTATGGAACACAAACGCGGAATGACACCAAGCCGGACCAGATCTTTTTTTCGTGAGGGTTCGGCCTTTAAAATTACCTCGGGTGTTCGTCGAAATCCACCAGCTGTCGCGGACGTCTCTTGTTATATATACATGACTCCATTTTTCATCACAGGTGAGGCAATTATGGCCCAAAAATCAGGTCCTTTCTGGCGCGCAATAGGCAATGGGCAGAAGGACGTCGAGGTGTGCGCGATTCCTGCCGGTCACTCCGATTGTGGGGCACCCATTGTCGAGTTTTTTCACCTTCCAGTTGCTTTTCAGACACATCTTGCAACAGATGGACTTGGCAAGGCCTTACGCTCTTTGCTATCTCTCGAACTACTTGGGATGAGTCAGCCTCCACAAATCCTTAAAATCCTCGTCAGGTATTGCTTTAGGTCGACCGCTATGAGGTTCGTCTTCAAGGCTGAAATCTCCAGAACGAAATTTGTTGAACCATTGCCGCACAGTGCTTTCTCTAGCACTATTGGGCCCCCACACCTGGTTAATTTGTTGAGCTGTTTCGATTGCGGATTGCCCCCAATTTATAGTACGAAGAAAAAAATCGTCCGAAGTGCTCTTTCCACATGCTTGAAAAAAATCTTGAAAAAAGGGGGTTTATCAAGCAATGGTGAAACGGCAATTATACCATCAGATAGCGCAAGAAATTCTCTACAGGATGTGCTACTGAGAAGCAAGGCAGAATGAGTTTTTAATCAGCAGTGAATGTACAAAAAATAGGTGCACAAAACGCTGAGATCTTTCCGGACAACGTAATACAAGATTGTATGGAACTCATTTCACGGCTATTCGAGGGGGCGTGGCCGCCGACCCAGTTATGAGTGCGGTGGCAGCAACACGCATTTGCCGGCTCACGCGAAGGCGTAGGCAGTGTGCTCACAGAAAACCTCATGCTTGCGCGAGAACAAGTTGATCCACTATTTACTACCGTTGAACTCACACCGGCTCTCGGCTTCCGTGGACAAGCCTTTCCCAGGTGCTACGATATGGACTGTTCTCACTTCTTACCTTCATTCAGTATTATCGAAGACCAAGTTCAATTTTCTCAGCTTTTTCTTGCTCTTTTTGTAGAGAATTCTGGCGCAGTTTGGCTTGTTTTTGTAAAGTATTTTGGCGCAGTTTGGCTTGGTGGGGTCGTTTTGCCGGTTTCTATCGGTTATTCTCTATGCCTCGTGTATAACTTGTCAATTCCTAGAGCTGTAGAGCTAGGCAAAAGCAAGAACCTCTTGACATGAGGGTACAGGTCTCACCAAAGTGTTAAAAGGACCTATTAAAAGAAACTTGCGAATTCAAAGTGCTCCTCCCTCGCCAATTTTTTTTCAATTCTTTTTTCGTGTTGCCACTTTCATGTTTGTTTTTTTCAAGTCCTATACATTCAGCCTCGTTCCCCAATACCGTGTGACCATCTTTGGTGATGAAAGTGATGACTCGTCGTTGAAAGTTCGTCACTATCCAATCGCACCGGATCTTGGCCAGTTGGACGATCGTACAGGGTATGTTAGTTCGAAAAAATGATCCAGCATTCTTTGGTTTTCAGCAGACCCTACCAAAACTTGCAGCTTTCCAATTATAGAACTGTATTTTTTAAACCTTATTCCTTACAGTCGTCTGTCAATTGATCGTCTTTTGTCCGAAACTCTGGTGGTCCGATGTCGTGAACGGCTTTTACGTATTCGTAAGCGCCTCAAGGCAGCTAAGCCTCTTTCGATAGTTTTGTACGCTGGTAAGTAATTGAACTGAATGCTTGCACTGTTAATTCGACTAATTTTTTCCCCATCAGGATCAGCGACACCAAGTCTTTGGCTTCCACTGTTACGGGATAGTGTAGACACACGGGAAGAGTGTGTAGTTATATCAGTGAATATGTTTAGCGGACGTGTTCTCTGTAGTTTGGATGCGATAGGTGAGCTATTTGCTTGCATGTTCCTTGTAATAATCGATTATTTCAAGCAGTATATTCCTTCACTGAAGCTCTAGTTTCTAGCCTTTTCCGCTAAACCCGTTTTGATTTGGGGGGATGAATCGGATGTGGTAACCCTATGGCAGACAGGGGGAGATGCTGTACTGGCAACTTATACGCTTTCATATGTTCGCGGTCCCGGGGGTCAAATCTCGTGTTGGCTACCCAGGTCTTTTACCCTACAGAGCGGTCAAATGGTAGCAGATTCAGGACAGGTGCTACCGTTGGGGAATTCTCTGCTAAAGACGACCCACCTCAAGAGTGCTCTCTGGTTAGACCTCTCTGTCTACATTAGTAGAGATTTTACCGAGAATTCCTGTACCGAACCGCCCCTAATCTTCCCCAAAAATTTGCTGTACGCGGAGGAGGTGAGAAATACATAGCATGCTTGAAACAGGAAAAATCGAGAGAAGTCAATAACCGAATACACTTCCTGAGAGGAAACTATGACCCCTCTTCCTCCAGCGACCAGATACGACCTCCTTTGCTGGAGATACCCAACGTACAGCGTGCCCCGCCTAGAAAAATTGTGACTGCATCCAACTTTAGTTGTAAGTAACTGCCATTTTTTATGTTTCAGAGTTCCTGCCGGGTTCAGCTAGTGAACTAAAAGAATTTGAAGCAGCTTTGTACGATGGCCAATCGATTGATTCTCTGCGCAAGCGAATCGATCGTCTAAAGTGAGTAGAATTATAATAGAGGAAATATTATCTATTGCCAAAATGACCACTACTGCGAGATTTGTTCACGTTTAGAGTCCTGCTGATGATCGAACGATACCGGAGATCTGTCTCCACCCTTCAAGTACGCATCATCAACGAGAATCAAATGGCACCGTTCTTCAAGAAGGTTGCAGTAAGCTGTTTTCCTTGTTCTTATTGTTTTTCTTGGTGTTTTCGACCTCGTTCAAGCTTTGCGCTATTTCTAAGCAACTGTTCTTCTTTCTTTCTTTCGAGCAAAGAATTTTGAGTTGAACTGAGGAAGATTCTGGTACATGGGTTATTATTCAGTTGAAGGTTTGACGGTTCGTATTTCAGGTCAACTCACTTCCGAGTGATCGTATATGCCTCCAGTTCATTAAAGAAGAGCATTTCTTTTTGGTGAGTAGTTTTCTTTCACAGCTCCGTCGTTCTTGAATCCTTTAATATTTCAGGTTATCACATTCATTTCTAATGAGAATCTCACTGTCAAAATGAATCTTTATCTATTGTGTACCCTTGATGACAAGGTACAGATGATGGAGTTGAATAAGGTGATTGAATCTTCTATTACTGTAATACTCTTGCTGTTTTCCAAAGAACGGAAGGGGATATCTGACTTTCTATTTTGAAGGAGAAGCAGCTAATTTCTGCTCCGATCGAGGGAGTGGTGGACATTGAAGCCAAGGCATTTGGACAATCTGAATATGATGACGTGTGGACTTTGAAGGAAAAGGTTTGATTTTGATTCTTCACTACCCGTAGGATTTGTAATTATTTTCTCATCCGTTTTATTCACTTATTTATTTATTTCGATTGGGAAA